GACACCACCATATCTGAGAGTTCACAGAGGGGCCATATCCAGGTCCTGTCAGAAAGAGATCCTGGAGAGTCTTTTTGCTCTCATTAGCAATACAAAACAAGTGATAGGGAACATGGCTCAAGTGGCAAAACACCAGCCTTGCAAGCTGGAACCTCGGAGTTCAAACTCCAGTACTGCTTTAAAAAAAAGGAGGAGGAGGAGCAGCAAGAGGAGGAGGAGGAAGAGGAGGAGGAGGAGGAGGAAGAAGAAGAAGAGGAAGAAGAGGAGGAAGAACGAAAAGTTTTCCTGTCCCAAATCTGCAACATCATCTTTCTCTGGACTTCTGGAAGCAGAGCTCAGATCTGATTTTGCTCAATAATATGTCCCCAAAGCCAGGCTCACTGCCCAGGATGGGTGGTAGAGAGGGAGGGACAAAGAAGGAATGAGTGAACAAACTAAAAAGTAAGCTTAGGACACACTTTATTAAAAAAACAAAAAACAAACTATGACTCTCAAAAAGTAACCGAATTTCCTTAAACCAGGGTGTGGGTGTGTGGCCATCCACTTTGTTCCCTTCCTAAGAGGGTACTTGCCTTCTTGTTTACCCCAAAGCACACTGCAGCTCAATCTAGTCTTTATCTCATCTACAGTACTTAGTTGCTTAAGTCTTTTTTCTTAACTGGGCATAGAGGTACACACCTGTAATCCCAGCACTTGGGAATCAGAAATAGGAGAAATGGCTAGGCACCAGATACACCTGTAATCCTAGCTACTCAGGAGGCTGAAAACTGAATAGCACAGTTCAAAGCCCCAAGGAAAGTCCTTGAGATTCTCATCTCCAATTAACTATCAAAAATGGCAGGAATGGAGCTATGGTTCAAGTGGTAGAGTGCTAGCCCTGAGCAAAAAAGTTCAGGGACAGCACACAGGCCCTGAGTTCAAGCTCCAGGACTGATATCAAAAAAGAAAGAAAAAAGAAAATAGGGTGATCAAGAGTTCCAGGGCAGCCTAGACTGTTTCATGAGACAATGTCCCCTCTCCTCCCCCAGTCTTTACCCCTATTAGATATGGACGCCTAGGAGAGAGGGGCCAAGCCACTCTTAGCAGTCAGCCTGGGTCATTTAACTCAATTCTTCCACTCACACTCACAAACAGGGACAGTTGCCAGATGCAAAATGCAGGACAGGCAATGACGCTTGAATTTCACATGATGAACAATAACTTACTTCTCATGCAATGGATGGAACACATTTATTCAAGATTCAATGTTTATCTGAAATTCAGTTGTCACTGGACATTGAGCTAGCAACCCTGATCCGGGGCATTACCAGCAGCAGGTTGCCCATGAGTGTGAGCTGTGGTGGGGTGGGATTGGGGAGGGCAGCAGAGAGCTACTTGGACCAGCTCTGCACACCCGAGACTTCAGATAAGTGTGGCCATGTGTGGTTTCCAGCCCTTCCCTTCCCTACATCCGGAGAGGAGCTCTCTAAAGAGCCACCAGAGTTCACAGGCCACATAGAGGGCTCCTTAATGTCAGGAGTAAGCTCAGAGAGGGTACTAGCTCTCCAGTAAGCACAAGGACATTGGTTCTTCCCTCCTTCCTGCCTGCAGCAGGCCTGATCCTGCTTGTACCCAGGGATTTCTCGGAAGCTCCACACTCAAGACACACAGGCATTTGGAATAGCTGTTCAATTGAAATACTCTATCAATGGAGCACATTATACAAGAACCTCGTCTCAGCCAAGCTTTGAAGATGACAACCCAGAGAGCAGTCCTGCTTCACACCCAGGAGGCTGGGTTCTGTGGTGGAGAGAAATGGAAAAGCTGGATCTAGGGTCCTGTTCTGCTTTGTGATGGAGCACCCAGATTCACAAGCTTCCTGGCCTCCCAGCTGCAGAGGGACACAAAAGTCAGGGGGAAGGGTGGCCATGCATCTCCCAGAAGAAATGGTGAATTCTGAGAGTAGATCTGCACAGCCTCCATAGCCCTCGACTCTTGTTCAGGGGAAGGTCATCCTGCACATTGATTCCTGGGCTACAGGACCTCCTTAACAGTACTCTGACCTCCACCAGGGGCAAAAGACACCATTTGAAGAGAAAAAGTAAGAGTGAGTGTAAAAGCACACCCATGCTAGGGACGCAGTAACCATAGGCGGGGTCCCAGGAGGGTATCCAAGGCATGTTCATGCTCCCTGCTACTCTCTGAATGCACAAACCCAACCAGTGCCCACGCAGTGCCAGATGTGAATGTACAATGCACAGTCTACACAAGTTTTGTTACATGACTCTGCACTAAGGTGCCCAGTGGAGGGGGGAGGGTCTGGAAGTAAAATTAAAACAGACACACCCTTTTTTCTGGAAGAGATCTTAAACCAGACTCACAGAGGGATCCATGGCACCCAGAGAATCAAAACCACAAGTTGGTGGTATCAGTTAAGCGGCTTCTCCCATGCTGGTTCAATGGTCCCAGGATGGGGCTCAGCCAGAAGGGGAGGAGCAGTGTTCCAGGGAGCAGACCTGTGGCCACACACACCTCTTATACACACACACACACACAAATATTTGCTTACACACCCCTTGCTGACTCCAAGGTCCACTCCACAGAGTAACCCACAGCAACAATCAAGTATCAAGAAAAATATAATCAGCTCATCCAACCTTTGTAACAACCCTACTGGGTGAGTCCTGTCCAAATCTTCACTCTACAGATGGGCCCATCTGGAGTTACATGGTGACAGAGCCAGTCCCAGGCTAGGTGCCCCTCATGTCTAAACTCTAAGCCACTCTCTTACACTACCTCTCAGAAAGCTGAGTTCTGGGGACCACCACTATGCAGAGAGACAGAGTCAGCAATTCCATGCCACTATACTAAAACCATAGGATCCATAAATAAGAAAGCCATGAAAACGAATGAATGAATGAATGAATGCCATGTAAATGAATGCCACTAGAAGTCATCACAGTACTAGACCCCTCTGCAAAAAGCTCAATTCCAAAGGACCATCCCAGCCACTCTCCAGCTGCACCTACAGTCATCCTTGTATATCCAACGAAGATTGGTGCTAAGACCATCTCCCCCTGCAGATACCAAGGTCTGCAGACACTCAAGCCTTTGTATAAAATAGCAGAGCATTTGCACAGAACCTATGCACATCTGACATCGACTTTAAATCTTCTCTTGATTACTTATGACCCTAATGGAATGCAAATGCAATGCAAATAACTCTTACACTAGATTACTTAGGGATGAATGCCAAGGAAAAAAGAAAGCCTGTACATGTTCAATACAGATGAAAGTTTTATGAAAGTATTTTCAATCCAGTTGGTTGGAGCTACAGATGTGGAATGTGTAGAGAGACAGAGGATGACCCACATAGACAAGCCTGGCCTGTCCTGGCCACTCCAAGAGGAGAGCCAGCACATCTTGTGCCCTTCTCCTGACATGACATGAAGGAAATAAACCCTCTGGGCAAGGGAGAGGTGGGGAAGTCGAATTCCTTTCTTGTGAGATTCTGTGACTTGGAAGGGGGTGGGGGACCAGAACAGAAGTTCTGATTTGGAAGTTTCCCCTGGCTTTCAGACCCCCTCCAGCTCATCAATGAGCCCATTCAGAGTTTCTTCTCCCCAACTGAGTTATCATTTCCTGTCCAGCACACTGTACCCATTGATGGGGTATCGCAAATTCTACCAGTTTATGCTGGAAGGACCCAAGGAGACTGGACAGAAATTAGAAGAGGAAGAAAAGGAGGCAGGAGGGAAAGGAATGGCTTCCAAGCCCATACTGTTGGATGAAGAGAGAATCTGAACTAGTGGAAGCTGGCTCCCCTTTAGCTTGTCTCACGGCACTAAGGACAATAAGAAAGTCATGAATGATGTGGCAAAGACATAGGCCTGCCTCTTTTAAGATGACCCATTACCAAAGGCCTGCAAAGGAAGGAGTGGACCCTGGCTGTGAGTACTAAGAGTAGGTGTTTCTTTTTTTGTGTTTTTGTGGGCCTCAACCAGACTCACATCTAAGGGAGACTCTAGAATATTTCAGCTTCCTAGGTAAAGTTGCTATTTATCTCATGCTGACTGGTACAGAGAGAGCATCTGACACAAATCAAGCCAATCAGACTCTTCTTTGGGATTTATCAATTTGGAACCAGCAAAAAAGTCAGTGTCTCTGCTGTTGGGAGCCACAAATATGAAATTCCAAAGCTATCCTAAAGGTGTAAAGAAACAGAAGCCAAGGACAGCTCCAGAGGGCAGTAGAGACAAGACATGGAGAGCTGACTCTAGTTTCAGTGGGATTTGAAGCCCACCACTTCACGACCCTCTCTCCAGCTGTAGATGATTATGTAAGTTTCCCTGATACAATTGTGTATAAGTTAGCATGAATGTAAAAGTTCCATTTGTCACCAAAAGAAGCCTAACTAAACTAGTGGGTGTCTCTAATGGTAACTATTGGGCTCATCGGACCCTTCTTCTGTAGGAACATGTTTATGCAAAGTAGATGCACACACACTATCCACATGTACCAACTGGGTGGCAAGTGCCTTATTTGGTCAGACAGACACTGTGGTATGCCCAGTTTGTGTCTGAAGTTTAAGAAATTGCTTATTTTCTGTTTCAGTCTTCTCTAGTGTGTTTGCTTTTCTTTGCCTGCAATGAGGTGGCGGCTTGTGTCTCATCTTGGATGTTTATAGACATGTCTGTTCAGGCACAGAGCACCCACAGCCATCTTCTGCCTCTTCACCATGGCTTCCTACCTCCCCTGCCCCCCCCACCCCCCAGCAAATGAGGGTGACAAAGCCCAACTGTTAAGTCCATCTGAGGAAGCCAACAAAGCCCTGAGTGTCTGTTCACTACCTCCAAGGAGACCAGCCTAACTCCACTGTTCAGCTTCCCTCATCTCTCCCTCTGCATTCATCTAGAGTGAGACCCTGAGCACTCTGCCATGGCCTCTCTGAAACAGTGAAGACATGAAAAGGCCAGCATGTCAAAGAGACGCAGGCACCATCTGACCTTCGGATAACTCACCTGCAGGTCAAAGAACTTGCTGTACCTCCGGTAGATGGTCTGGGAGGTGGAGTCAGACCAGGTCACATTGATAATGTACACCTGTGGGAAAAGAGATCAGAGCAGGTAAGCAGGGAGCGATGCTGGGATGCAAGCAATGCCAGATAAAAAAGAATGGCCAGGGACCGTCTTTTCCTTACCTATTCCCAACATGAATATAGTGTCAGATACCAAGTAGATGCTACCATATGTCTAAATAAATACACACACATCTAGAGGGGCATTCAATAGAACACTAAGGATCATTCTCTCAGTAGAACAGAATTAAAACTTCAGTTTTAATTTAGCTTTAGTTTCCTTCATGTATACCTGTATATACACACATATACCACACACATACATATATACATACCACACACCACACGTGTGTATGTGTTATACAACGAACCTAAAATTGGAATTGTTACATTATTCTTTTGGGGGCTAATATTGGGGTTTGAATTCAAAGCTTTGTGTTCACTGAGCCTCCAGCCCTGCTGGTTATTTGGGAAACAGTCTTGTGGACTTTTCTGCCCAGCCCTGAACCACAGCCCTCCAAATCTCAGCCTTCTGAGTAGGTAGAATTATAGGCAGCACCTGACTTACATTATGTTTTTTTTTTTTTTTTTTAAGATACTGGGGCTTGAACTCAGCGCCTGGGCACTGCCATTTGCTCTAAAGTTTGAGAAGCAGTAGAAATTAACTGCTTTAAAAAAATATGTGTCAGAAGGCTGGCAGTTCAAAGCCAGCCCATACAGGAAAGCCCATGGGACTCTTATTTCCAAAGAACCAGCAAAAGGCCAGAAGTGGGTATGAACACCATTCTTGGGCAAAAAAGCTGAGGGACAACACCCAGGCCCTGAGTTCAAGCCTATTGTGCCTGCTGATCTGCAGCTCCATATGTCTCCCACCTCCACCTCCAGGACATCCATTCTTGGGCAGGGAACAGATAGGTCCACATGCCCAATTTTGTAGGGTAAGAAGGCCTGGAGTGGCCTAGCCTGGCTGCAGCGTGAGCCAGCAATCCCGCCTGCAGGTCATTAGACGGCAGTCATTCCCCCATTCCCCTGGGCCAGACAAGCAGAGCGCAGAGGAAGGGCTTAACTGGGGCTTAACACCCATGCTCCATCCTGTGCAGTAATTAGGGGCTTCCCTTCCCCTTCCAGAGAGAATTAATCACAGGCTCACGGCCTGGGCAGCCAGAGGATCCAGAGAGGCATTTCGTTTTGGGGTTGTTGTTTTTTTTTTTTTTTTAAATAAAGCATGCATCAGTTACTGGTGGGGGGGGGATTTCCACTCCAACATTTCCACTCATGTATACAATGTGTTCCATTCAATCTCACCACCTCTTCACTCCCTTCCTCCTCCCCTCTTCTTAGGAGAATTTCAACCAGCTTCATTGTACTATTTTCATACATGCAAACATCTTCATCTACTCTTCTTGTTAACCCGACATCCTCCCACTAGTGCCTCTCTTCCCCATCCCCCCAGACCTCCTACTGACCAGCAGCTTTCATTGAGGTTTTTTTATACCAATTTCATCTATAGTTGCAATGTGCTTCAAAATTGTTCACTCCCCTCTTCCTTCTCTCTCTCTCTCTCTCTCTCTCTCTCTCTCCCTCCCTCCCCCTTTTAATTTATGTCAGTACTCAGCCTTGAACTCAGGGCTTCATGCTTTCTCGCTCAAGGCTGGTACTCTAACACCTAAGCCATATTTCCAGCTCCAATTTTTTTGCTGGTTAATAAATTAAGAATCTCTCAGGCAGGGCACTGGTGGCTCATGCCTATAATCCTAGCTACTAAGGAGACTGAAATCTGAGGATTACAGTTAGAAGAAGCTAGCTTAGTCAGGAAAGTCCATGAAACTCTTATCTCCAATTAGCCACCAAAAAAGCTGGAAGTGGAGCTGTAGTTCAAATGGTAGAGCTATTAGCTAGCTTTGAGCCAAAGAAGTGATAAGACAATGCCCAAGCCCCAGGTCTGGCGCGTGCGCACACGCACACACACACACACACACACACACACACGCGTGCACACACACACACATATACACACACACACACAGTCTTTCAGATTTGTCTGCTTCAAATCTCAGATCTTAACCTAGTGGCTCCTTTTTTCTTTTTACTTCTCATTTTTGTGCTTTGCTGAAACTGAATCCAGGACTCTGAACATGCAAAGTGGCTTCTTTGGCAGAGAAGGAACCTACTACCTAGGATGATAGTTTGCCAGGGGGAAGAAGCAAATTCTGGTGAAACCAGAATTGATGAAACCTCAATCCCTTTCACACCCAGCACTCTCCTTAGTGACCCAAGATGCTCAGGCCCTCCATACAGCAGCTCTCGCCTCCAGGATTGCCAGGCCTGATGCACAGCGTCATCACTTGTGGAATGCTCACTGCTGCGGGCAGGGCTGGGACAAGAACCCAGACAGCTGCCAGACTAGGAGCTGAGACGTGACAAGAACATGAGAGAGTCCTTAAAATAGTTGAAAACTTCAAGTAATCATCTCTGTTTAAACCTGACCTGAACCTACATTGAAAATACACACTTTGAAGCCTCAAATCAGTGTTTCACACCTGTAATCCTAGCTAATCAGGAGACTGAGATTTGAGGATAACAGTTCAAAGCCAAATGGACAAGATAGTCCATGACACTCTTATCTCCAATTAACCACCAAAAGATCAGAAGTGGATCTGTGGCTCAAGTGGTAGAGTGCTAGCCTTGAGCAAAAAGCTCAAGGAGAAGGCCCAGGCTCTGAGTTCAAGCTCCAGGACCAGCGCACGTACGCGCGCGTGCGCGCATACACACACACACACACACACACACACACACACACACACACACACAGTACACACTCTATAGAGGACAGGCAAGAGGAAAGTAGTAACAAAGCTGTTAGCCATAACACAGCCACTAGTCTAGGATATGATCGTGATTTCCACCCAAAAGTATTTCATCCCTCATTTGGCAATGGGTTGCTTCCCTAATTCCTTGCATCACACTTCAGGTGCCCTGTGCAGACAGGAGTAGCGGTGGTGGGGAATGGGCCCCTAACTACCAGGTTTTCCACACTTCTGGGATGTGCCAGAGGCCCACAGTCTCCTCCCTTGAACATCCTCGATTATCACCCTAGATAAATGAGGGATACACAGAATTTCAGCCCAGCCCACTCCTAGAGCTCTATCCTGCCAGCTCTGGAAACTTTAGAGATAAACTGCAGAGAAAGAACAGGTGTCGGAAAGGGGAACGGGGCAGAGGTCACCTGAGAAAGCCAGCTCTGTTTACTGAGCCTGCGTCAGGGGCCCAGATAAATCCCCCTCCGGTCTTCAGAGCAGCAGAGATAACATTACCCAGCAGCTGGGTTTCAAAAGCGTTGGCAATTACTTGTCCTGCTTCTAAGCACATTGCTGGGGGCTTATGTTTCCCAGGTGAAGTTTCCCTTCCTTCTGGATTAAAAAAAAAAAAATGCACGGCTTCTGTTTCCCAGTCTCTGGTCACTTCAGGCAGATGGTAGCATCTACGAATCCTCGCTAGATAAAGACCAACAACCCTGTCTAGCTTCCCTGGAGCTGGTGCAGGCTGCCGTGCTTTCCTGAAGCTCTTCTTCCACAGAGGAGAATCTTTGGGATGGACACAGATGTTTTTCTAGGTACCTAGCATAGTGCCTCAGTCCAATCAACTGTCCAGCAGACTAGTAGCTTTGTCTTGCCTATACTAACCTTTGAACGAGAACATGACCTGGACGTCAGGCTCAAAGCTCAACTCCAGAGCACTGAGGCCAGCCCAGGTCCATACTGAGACCTGGGCTGTGACTGACCAACAACTGCAAATATGTGGTCCACGGAAGCCTACAACCTGCCCGTGTATAATCAAAAAGGCTAGGAGTTTCTGACGTTTAACCTATTCTGCTTTTGCTGATGGAAAGGATGAGAGGCAAGGGGTTAGGAGCTCTGCAGGAAACTGTAACCCTGTGGTGCAGTGGCTCCATTGACAAAGGAAGGACTCCTTTTCCTTGCTCCCCTGATAGCTGCCCCTGGCCTTGGGCCAAATAGAAACCCAATGACAATCTTCCTTCATGGGCTCACACCACCACAGTGCTGGGATCAGATGGCCAGGACTAGCGCTGCTGTATACAGAGCTGAGCAAGCTGCTCCCTGCTAAAAGGTTACCTGGTCCAGAGATGACCTTTTCTCTAGGCCCAAAGTATACACTCTATCTTGGGGCTGCAGCATACCAACCAAAGAATACCACTTGTTCCTCCTCATCCCCAGTGGTGGGTGTCAAAGGGTTGTCATTGCTTCCTACAGTCCTGGATGTCATAGCCCTCCTGCTGTGACCTACTGCGCCCCACTGGAAGGCAGTGATGGCCTCAATGGTAAAAGATCCCTCTTGACACCACCTGGCTGCACCCAGAGAGGGTCCAGCAGAGCCCCTGCATCCAGCCTGGGCCCCCTTTGTCTCGGGAGTCTTTGCAGTACTGCAAGACTTCATTTCACAGTTAGTCCTTTATTATTCTATCTGCCCTTGTTTGCTAATCGTTGGTGCAGAACAACCCAGCGCTTGACACACGGTGTGTCAGTCCCTATTTAACATGGGCAAGTCATTCTCCCTCCCACGCCTGCCTCCCCATCAGCAAAACCTGTCTCACCCTTTCCTCTGGTCTGCTTGTCACTGGGCACAGAAATCATAACTGGCTCATCTAATGATTTTTGCAGCCATGAAGAGGCAGCAGAGGAGAGAACCTTTGGAGACTGTTTTCCAACCCCAGAGAAAAAACCCCAGTGGCCAAGGGGTAGCACACACCTGTATCTGACTGGGTACAAGGATGTGTCCCTAAGCCAGCAAAACCTGAATGAATATTCCCTGGCCACTTGGCTAATGTGTTGAGTTCAGTCATCTCCTCCTCTGGGTGTTGTTTGTTCTTGGGGGTAGAGAAGGCGAGGGGGCAGATTGGGAGAACCACCACCACTGTGAAGTCTGATTTGGAGGCAACCTTCCAGGCCTGCTGCAGGTGAAAGGTCAGATGGCCCTCTCTTGTCCCTGGCCCCCTGGCTCCAGGCT